GGGGGGTAGTAGTTTCCTCAGTTGTGTATATTATGTGTAATTGTTGATCAGATATGAGTGTGTTTCCCTCATTTACACCGTCGTGTATGGAAAACAAGAGGGAGGTTTTTGTTTTATTTTGAAAAAAGTTCTCGTTTTTCTCATTTTATTTAATTTTCTTTTTCAGTAGAACAAGATGTGGTTTTCTTTTATTATAACCTATTAATATTATGTCAGCAGAGTCACACACATTTTAGTTGTTTTGTGTTTTTTTTGTTTGTTTGTTTTGTTTTTTTTTTACCATATACACCCATAAAGATTGTACACGTGCCTTAACGAGATGTTGTAGCAACAGTCAGATTGACGTTTTACCATATCTGCTTGTTTAACACCTCGCTGGCCTTACCGGGGATGGTTAGTCCTTATTAAATAGAATGTTTCAAGCCATAACACTTTGAGTGCGCTTTAAGTGCTCGACAACAGTGACCAGATAAATGAGGTTGTGGTGGATTCATGTGTTGTGCAATTTGTGTCATATCTGACTTGTTTGTACTGAAGTACCCATTGCATTTATGTTGTTCGACACAGATGCAAAAAAGATTTTTCTCTGAAACTGCTATGCAGCTAATAAACCTTTTTAAATGTAGATCTATTACTTTTTGAACATATATTTTTCTATATAGCCTCTCCCATTTTTAGACTAAAGGAGAAACCAAAATAGATGTTCTTTGTTATTTACAATTTCTGCCTGGTTTTAATTCTGTTAGTCAAAATGCTGACTTTTCAGCAACAATTAAAGATGCTTTCTTGTGTTTTCGTTGAGACAAGGGTCACAAATGTGTGTTTTCTTTGTTCCCATCTTACTTAAAGGCTTTGTTAGGAGTCATACCTCCGTCTATACCAGTTGTTTACTGTGCAGTGGTTCCCTTTCTTCTGATGTCCCTCAGGGCATCCTGTTAAACAGGATGTAATTTTAATTGTCACGAGTCATTTTGCTCAGATCTGTCAGACCAGTAAAAGGTGGTGCACACTAGGTTTGTTCTGCAATTTGAAACGGTGTGGATAATTATCTTTGCTACAAATTCTCTACAAATTGTACTTTCCATTTATCTGCCATATTTAAAGCCTAAGTGAACCACTCTTCTAGTAAACATCCGAAGGTGTAAAAATCTTCCTTTCTGTTTCTAACCATGTGAACAACTATCAAATCATCATTACCCAAAATATTAAAAAAAACAAACAAACAAATAAATAACTTTTATATATCTGGCTTTTATTGGGACATTTTTACTCTTGCAATTAATTTTCTGTTAAACTTGCTGCTATCTGTAATAAATGTATTTACTTTAAGTTCTAGTTGGATTTTTATTTCATTTTTCTGGTGTAAAACTATTACTTGGTTATGAGAGGAGGACACGACTTTTATTAGTTTTAGTTTATTATTTGGATGCCTTCTTAACACAAATTAGGTATTCCTAGTTTTGTGTTTGTTTTTCCACACTGGCTTTATGTAGATTATTTTCTGATGAAACATAGGATTATGTTTCAGAAAATAATAGTAGTATCATTTGGTATATTCTTACCAAAACACCCTTTTTTAATGAAATAAGTAGCAACAAAATATCAGATAAAGCAATCTGTAACTGAGAGTTAATTTATTTATTGCGCCTAATGGAATAAAGTCTGGCAAAATCGTTTTTAAACGTTTCTCCTAAGCGTAGGATGGAGGGAGAATAAAATGGGCCTACCTTATTCCAGCTTTAAATGTGTTGAAAGATGATATCAATTAAATTACACGCATTCATACAGCATGAAGGCGACAACATACAAGTTATGAAACATTTCAGTTCATGTTAGATTTCAGAACATTTAGTAATATTAGTATGCAATTAAATCCCGATTTATGTATTGATTTATTAATAAATAAAATAGAATATAACAACAACAACAAAAACCAGCACTGACGATCTGTCAGCTCTCCGCATTCAGCAGGCCGTAATTTGGGGCCCACCTTGTGACGTATCCTTGGACGTTTCAGTTTTCTGGTTTCCGTCAGTCCTTTGAACGCACCACTCAGTTCTCGCGTTTCTGCGGCGCACGCATGTCAGTTGCTCTTTCTGTGCGCTGCATCAAGAACATGGCAGACGTGAAGACGGTGGACGGAGACAAACTCAGCAAAAAGTGAGCTTATTTGTTTCTTCTTTCGCATTTTCACCGCTCTTTACCTCTATCGCTTTTGTCACATCGTCCAAGATTTTTTCCTTTCGACAGTTATGGCAGTTCCAGTTTGGCACCGCAAAACATCAGGTCAGAGCGTGAAAACGTAGTGAAGGTCCCGTATTGAGGCACCGTACTAGCCTACATACCCCAGAATTCAAGTCGTGTGTGTTTCTGGTAGTTGCAGTCCTAAATTTAATTTAAGACCAGTGGCGAAAGTGTCTCTTGTTGACGTGTGAAACTACAACATCCACAATACATTGTTAGACGACTTCGATACATCGTGCAATCGCGTGGGCGTCTTATATGTGCAGTTATAATTTTAGCGAATGATGGTTTATCGGGTGAAACTATGTATGCTGATTTGTTTATTTAGAAGGACGCTCTGTTTAATATAAAAAATCTTAAATAAAGCCAAGCGCATGTTACTTCGTTCTTCCAGATCATCTTTGTTTGCCAAGAGTAAAGCTGTAGAAAGTGAAACCGGAATCTAATTACAGGAAGTGTAAAGCTAATTATATAAAAATATATACTTGTTTACTTGTTTTGATCTTGGAGGGTCTTGCCAAATAGGAGGGTTCTATCAACCCCAGCAGGATGTAGTTTTGCCTGAAGGACAGGGCAGAGACAGCCTTCATATACTGTACACTGTCTTTGTATATGTCTATTTTCTCAGGTCTGTCTGCTGACTGTCGTAGTTCAGCATGCTGTGTCTGGTCAGGGCAGCCAGGCAGCAGCTGTGCCAAGCCTGTGGGGTCAGGGGACAGTGGTTAAAATATGCGCCCCCATGTACAGCTGCAAGCCCAGCTCAGAACCGCTGGAGAGGTGACAAAAGGTTGGTGGCTTTTCCATTCCAGTGCGGAAAACAACCAACCTTTTGTCATTAGAGCTGATGTGTTCGTCCGTTTTGCATGAATATTTGTTGTACCTCTCTGCTAGTAGAAAATCATGTTGTCCTTTTGTTTTGCTTTTATTTATTTTGGTTACAATAATAGAGTAGGTTATATGATGTGACTTTTTGGCTTTTTTGAATTCCAAAAGATATTTGTTTTTAGTTGCAAATGCATCATAAGGGCGAAATGTGGTATCCAACCACTGATTGCTGTTTTTGTTTTTATTCAGTGAGCTGAAGAGGCGAATGAAAGCAGAGAAAAAGGCAGCTGAGAAAGAAGCCAAGGTTAAAGAGCAGGTGGAGCAAAAAAAAGAATCAAATGACCAGG